CTATTTTTTTTTGTTTTGTCAATAACTTACCCACCCTCCCCCGCACCAAAATCTGCATTTGATTTTTATTATCTTTTTTCCCCCGCTAATTTTTTCTATCGTTACAAAACCATTCGCGTTATTCTGTTAGAACTTAATATTTATAATTTATGCAGTACTCTCCATTGAGCAGACACATAATACGCAGGGATCTATACTCATCTTATATGTGTTTTCTTTTTAATATATGACAGATTTATTTTAGCAAGACAAAAAAATTCCCATGACATTTGTCACTATAACATACAATGACAAATAATACACAATATCTACATTAATATGTGATATTATTTTTCTACTGTTCATAATTTTATTTTATTTATAGAATATATTATTGAAAACAATGTGCGTTATTTCTTTAAACGAAAAAATTTAATCATTGTCGCGCGTTTAACAAAAGTTAAATATATTCATCGAAAGATTAAATCTTAAATAACAATTACTATTTTTTTTCTTAGATATGAGCGATAACTATAATAATTCTTATCAGAGTTGTCGTTTTAAATCACATATTCTCTTCTTAATATCTCTCTTAAAACGCATTTTGTGTGATCTGAATAACGTAATAAACTATACTCTGCCTGTTTTTTAATCTTCTTTTAAGGTCTATCTCGTACTGCTATAGAAATATAGATGTAACGTGAAGAGAAATACATAATTATAATATAATTGTGAAGAAAATCATATTTTTATCGCAGATTTATCATTAATTGTGATATTGTGTCTAATTTTAACCTTTATCTGTCTAATACAAGGATTCTCTTCAATCGTATTGCTGACTAAATATGTGATGGTGAGAATATGAAGGACATAGTGACATCCCGTTTATATGTTATTACAATTATTGATGTACGAGCCATAATTTTTATACGCGATTGATTACAGTGTGCAAAGTCTCGGACGCAATTCATTAGCGATCAGGCGAACATGATGGAACGTGATATTCCCAAGAGTGATTCTACGGAGAACAATAACAATTATTACGAAGGATTACGCGGTGGCAGACCATCCCCGTTCGCGCCAAATAGCTTGGTGTCCGCCACGCGTATCATCAATCATCACTTATTCGGATCCCCCGGTGAATCGAAACATTGCGCGGGTAAATATTAGGCCTCAACTTACAAGAAAACAAATGCAAGTGTTTCTCTTGGATTTTTTACACGGACGTTGAGTAGAGTATATTCTAAAGTAGTTAAAAAAAACATATATTTCTCTGCATGTTTTCTCATATGTTTACAAGTTGAAAAACAATCCTCTAGCAAACTCTAAGATATTTTAAAAAATATTCACAAATAAAAGCTTCATGATATTAAATGAATTTTACATAGCACACTTTAAATTTTCGAAAACTGTCATGCTTTTTAATATGTTTCTATTTCTCAATATTATCTTTATGAATTTCATAATTTTGGTAAAGATAAAACTAAAACAGTTTTCTTTAATAATATTATTTTTCAAAATTGCATTTATCTAAATATCGCGCTATACGCACCACACTGCACTGCGTATGTTGTGAAATATCTAGAAAATTTGTATCGTCGGAATACACATATGTCATGATAAAATTTCGTTTCAGACACAAGCACCGAGAGTAAGCTTTCGCTATCAATGGACTCGGTAAACAGCGACAGTATACCGTTCATGGGCCGCCACCGCACGTCGAAATCGATCCTGAAAAAGTCCAATAGTGGCAATAATTACTACAGCAATACCGGTGATTCGGATACCGAGAAGCTGATCACAGATAGCGCGTCTACGACAAGCGTATGCGACAACGAAATGAGTGCATGTGATACTTTGGCTAACGTGAATGGCACGCGCGCGAAAAACCGACCGACATCACCGTTACTCTCGCGACAGGTCCTTGAGTCGATATTCCGCACTAATAACAACACCGATAGAACATACACAAGTGATGAGGTGGATGAAAAGAACAGCGTCGTGAGAACGTCAAAGATCCTATTGGACGATATTGTTCAAGGTTTGTATGTGAGAACATTTCGTAATCGAAAAAATTAAAAGATACAAAAGAAAAGTAATTGCTGTCACTTTATTATTATCGGTGACAATATTTACAATTAAGTTTGTTCGAGTTTTCCATATAGATGTGTACGAAAAATTAAAATTTTAATTGAAAACGCGTTATACGATTCGAAAAATTGTATAATAGATACATTTAAAATGTTTTATCAGAATATATTGAAGCATTCTCACAATTTTATAGTTTGCTTTAGAAATCGAACAAACTTAATTGCCAACTCAATGATATTTAATAACACTTTTGACTAGTTTATTCTAACATGTGTACATTATAGAAGAGAAACACTCTTTTGATGAAGTAGCAGTGGAGAAACAGAAATCGAAAAATGTAGAGTCGGACAAGCAATTGCGAAAGCCGCCGAAGATACGCCTGCAAGAGGAATACAAGGAGAGTCAGACTACGCTGATACTACGTCCCTACAAAACGAAAAAGTCGATAACTATGACAATGGAGGAAAAAAGAAAAGCCAACAAATTGACTGGTCACGCTTGCGCAATTTATAAGACCACCGACACAAATTGCCTCTCTCAAGAATACCATTTCTCATCGTAATGATTTTTCCAATTTAACAATTATTCGCTACATTAGACGATACATGTAGTTATCATCACCTGTTACGTGTTTACACACGTTTGCTGTATAACAATTCGTCTGTGCCTGTCAATTACATTACGCTTAATTGCACTAACAGTCCTGGTCAATTAACGATATAACAATGTATAATTTCGCTGTTTTTATGCTATTTTGTTTCTTTCTTCTTTCATTATACAAAGGTTTCATCATTTTATATTATTGGTAAAATTTATTAATATAAAAATAAACTCGAAGAAGACTCACTTTGGCAATAACGTTAATATTCATTCCGGTCAAAATTAAGTTTTTACTTGTTCATCAGGTGTCGTAATCGTTCCGATCGTTTTTTGAAATTTATTCGAATGTCTACAATTAATAAAAAGAGACAATTAATAAAAAATTACGGAATTATTTTGGATGTGTTTTCGAAAATTTATAATATAACTACTCTGTATTGTAAGCAATATGCTATATTTCTAAAACTTTTCAGTTGCAACTTTGCAACTATACAAGGAAATCACATAGTAATTTTATTACGTGGTCGCATGTGCGGGTTCCATAATGAAATACAAAAATATATATTTGAATTGAAATTTGTTTTAACAAAAAGGGAGAAAAGGGAAGAAAATTATCTTTATTTATGCATCTTTATTTTCTAGACTATTTTCGTAATATTACGTAAAATAAATGAAGAAAAAAGAATTAATATCTTGACAAAGGTGCAATCAATTTTCAGATTTGGAGATAAGTCTTCGTAAACGTATAAAAATTGTGGAATAACGCACGATAGATAGTTATTAAAGCTCATACATAATAAGTGGCTGTTGAAAAGTAAACGGTAATCTAAATACCGAGCCACACCATAATAGGAATTTAGCACATAATAAAAATATTGATGTAAATATTTTTTTTTAACGAGCAACAAGTATGAGTGTCACACTGCCTCACATTAATCGAACTATTACATATATAAACCACAGTAATCACACAATCTCGTTTATTTCTTTGTTAAAGCTAATATTACCAAACTAGAGCAACGCTGGCGATAAATTTGTGCGATAAATTGTGATAGAACGTATGAATCTTAATCTATTCTACAGAAGCTTACTAGTTACGGATATAACAGTCTGATTCGTGTTATTTCGTTATATATCGATGTCAACATGTACACATATAATAAAATACAAATGATCGTACGGTCGTCATTAGAATTAGCAGCATAAGTACAAACCGCGCGACGATTTCGTTAAAATCAAAATGCGCCGATTTTAGTGATTGTAGAAACGTAGCCGCTAATAGTATAACATAAATATATGCATATATACATATGTATATGTATATCCACATTATACACATACATATATATGCACCTTTTTAAAATATTGAGTGTCAAAGATAAAATAGGAAACTTTGTGTGCGTGCGTGCGTGCGCGCGCGCGCGCGTGTGTGTGTGTGTGAATGTGCGTGCGTGCGTACATGTGCGCGCGCGCGCGCACATTGTACTATTTTTTTATTTTTAACACCCAAGTATCTTAAGAAGATAAAACTTTTTGAAAAAATGTTTTAAACAAATGCTACTTGATTTCAAGAAGGATATATAATGCAGACTTTACTAATTAATTTATTAGTATTTAATTGATTTATTATTACTAATTAATTTATATAGTATAAATTGGTATACATTTAGTGTAAAGTTTTGCGTGATCTTTCCAAGATTATTATATAACAAAATCATCTAAAATTTTTAAACAAATACCCCCATTTTTAATTGCGCATTCTTAAAACTGACGTTTTGCAAAACATTAATAATGAAGCCTTTTTTATAATTTAATACTTAAGAGTTATAAATCTTGAAATTTGTGATATATATACTTTCGGTATTTAGGAGGTCAAGCGATCGAATAATACCTCACGCAAGGTACAACTCAAGTCAGCGTCTTACATCTTCTTTAAAACAAAGTAACTTATATATATACACACGCGCGTATGTGTGTCATAAAGAATATTATAAGACTTGAAGTTGAATATTAAATGAAATCGGAACTTCAAATTAAATTAAAAATTTTGAGCTAAATCCATTGGATATACTAATGGGGAGAGAGAGATGTTACGAACAACAAATTTATCATCAATGAGAATGAATTACAATGAGAAATTAATTCTGTTTATATAAATCTGAAATTTTATTTTTATTTGCCATCAATTAAATACATAGTTATGTTGAAAAATTTTTTCAAATAAAATATTTATTTAATAGATATTATAAAAGATATCTATCAGAATTGATTCGCTTTACAAAAGTTTAAGATTATTAAATTAAAAATTTTTGTACTATTTTAAAATAAATTGGACTATTTTCATATTTTATAATTATCATTTAGATTTCAATCAAAACTGTGATATTTCAATATGTAATCACAATTTTAATTACGATAATCTAAATAAATAATTTAATATAAAATACGAAAATGTTCTAATTTGTTCGAAAATAATACAAAGATTTGTAATGCCAGTAGCAAAAGAAAGGCAATTTACTTCGAAAATCGACTGCAAATTTCAACTAAATTTCACAATCAGCTCTATTTAGAATTATGCAAGCGTCATCAGTGTTTCATCTAGAGATGTAATTGCGATAGCAATCATACTTTTTATAAGACAGCGAAATACGTAACAAGCATATCCATAAATTTTGCATCATAGTTTTATCCAACAAACGCGTATTTTTTGTGCGTATTACTTGTGTATTTCAGCAATAGTACACTACAGAAATACTTAACTCGAGAGATTGTAATCGCGCCTTAGACACTGTATTTGCGAATAATACCGTTTTCACACTAAAACGTTTTTGCAATCGACCGCTCTAACGTCAAGATGCATTATCTCACACCAGTTCTTCCAGAACATTTTAAACCGTAGCGAACGCAACGCGTTCTGATTTAGATCTTTTATCGTTAGAAGATGTTCAGTGAAGTACATATCTGCAATATGATATTTCTATTAGCCATCTTTGTAATAATCAAATAACTAAAAGGGCTACAAGAGCCGCAGCCGATTACAAGCACTGATTCTATAGATATATTCAAATTGTTTCGCAATAACACAAACGTCTCGGTCTATATTAGGCTGCGGCTCTTTTGTCCTCTTTTAATTTAGTTATTTGATTGCTTAAATCACTAGAGCCTTGCTAAATTTTATTTTTATAGTACCTGTAGAGAAGTAGATAATGTACGAATGTATACTATTATCGTCAGTTTACCAGCAATCTCGTTATTGCGTCAATGTGAATAGAATGTAAAATATTTTCTGCTGGCAGAACTAATAAGATTCATCATTTTTAGCAGATATTTTAATTAACGGCGATACAACGTACTCGTTGTTAGAGTGTAAATGACAAGAAAAGGCAGTAGATGTCAAAAATCTGTCGAAACTTGCAGATCTTGCCGAGCTGTGTTCCATATTCATAAACTCGCTTCCGCTGCGTGTACGTGCATATGGCTTATGTTACGGATGATTGTTAAACATTGTTGTCGCATCTGTTATGTACATTAAAAGATTGTAAGCTAAGCGAATAGTTTGGAAAGGGTGTTAGACCGCCTTTTGTGAGAAAATCTGGCTATTTTTTAAAATAAAATTTTATGATTCTGATTTTCTGCTTAGTAAAATTTGAAAAATGAATGTTTAAACCTTTTCGTGTCTTTTGTACCATCTTGTGTATCTTTATTCTAATTATATATAGATATCAATTTGTCGTATGTTAAATTTGTTCAGACAGCGGTAAATCTAACAGCGAAAGTATCACCAAATCCATCACCGAAATCCAAACGACCTCACGCACCGTGTACCGTTTGCTTCTTCTTTTTCAGGTAACAAAAGAAATGTCTAATTTTGCAATCCAATATTATAGATATGTGATTGTAATACCTATTGCATCATGCATCATACGTTTATATACATACCCAGTCAGCAAAGTCTGTTCGAACAGATATTGCCAAACGTCTGCTACAAATTTTTGTCAGCAGAAAGACTGCAGATTGTATACAAAATCTGTTACATCAGATGATGATAGCAGAATATCAGCAGAAATGTTACAAAACCTGCTGACATAATTTGACAGCAGATCAGTAGCAGAAACCGAGTAGAATTTGCTCGGAATTATTACAGCAGATTGGCGGCAGAAACCGAGCAGGACCTGCGCAACGCAGTTTGATATCAGATTGACGGCAGAAATCGAGCAGGATCTGTATAATGCAGTTTGATGTCAGATTGGCGGCAGAAATCGAGCAAAATCTGCGCAATGCAATTTGATTGCCGCTATGCGGCGTGTTTCTTCGTATATAAACTCGTACTCAAAATTCATCTACAGTGCATATAAAGTGTGGCCAGTGGCTTAATAAAGCTTAACAGTTTAATACAATAATCTGATACAATCCCCATAAGAGATTCAGAATATTAAACTGATTTTTGAAATTGAAAATGCGCTGCGAGTTGACCCGATATTCCAGTGATTTCGAGATTTTGCCTAATAAATTTATTAAAACATAAGTATTTTTGTCCCAATAAAGCAAATATATATTATATACTTTACATACCTCATTTACTACTTTTAATAAGCGAAACGAGAAATATAAAATTGTAATGAAGCATTTAAATGCCGCTATTCCATTTAAATTGTGACGGCAGATTCTGCTCGATTTCTGCCGACAATCTGACATCAAATTATATTGCGCAGATCCTGCTCGTTTTCTGCCGCCAATCTGCTGTCAACCTATGTCGACAGTTTCTGTCGACAGAACACGAGCTTAATGCGGACACAGATGGCACCGTATTTGCTGCCAAGTTCTGAGCGAATCTGCTCGCAAACTGCCAGCAGGCTGCTAACATTTTGTTGACTGGGTATATACGCAATTTGCAAATAGCGGGTCATGAATTTCAGTACTGTGCAAGAATACAGATTTTAGGATGTTTAAAACTACATGCGCAACAAAGTTATGAAAATTATGATAAACTGAATTCAGAAGAAAAACGTATTTGCGGGAATGCGATACATCGAACAATATATTAAGAATGAAAGAAAACATATGCCAGGAATTTGATATATTACATTATTTCATTATATTTCATTATAACATATTGTTTCTTTACTTATAACAGAAAGTGTCACACTTTTGAGAATAAATATGTTCATAGGTTCACAATGAAATGGAGAAAGACAAAATATCTAGTTCCGATAGACACTACAAATATCTTACTTGTCAGCCTTGTACTAGACATTTATGACAAAATTTGCAATTATTTACTCGCCACTGTAAAATTAATATGCTGCAACTATGGAAGATATGAGCTTTGTGACAACTAGGACAACCAAATCCACTCGTTATAACCACTGTCTAGAACAGAGCGGAGATTTAATAATTGTAACGCTTGATCGATTTTCGAAATGAACACTCATTTTCCCTTTATCGCTGACATTTTAATAATGAGCTGCTAAATGCATTTAAATAAAAACGCAAGACACTTGATGAATCTTATAGCGTTTTCGATTATACAGGATTTGAACGATCCAGGGTTGATCAATCACTATTTTACTATAAATGCAAGTCTTTCATTGGTGGAGAGGTTGCAATGACGTCATTAACCAACCCTGGGTCGTTCAAATCCTGTATAATCGAAAACGCTATTAATATCATACCATAGATATATTATATATAGATAGAGCTTTGTGAATCTTACGCCTGCCAAGATAAAATTATCTTTTCCTCCCTCGCGCATGTGCAATCACGCATTTATCTTCAAAAAACAGAAGTGTTTATCCATGCAGCCAAGGATATAACCTAATTTTATGTAAAAGTGCTGTATCTGCAGAGATAAATATACGAATGCACATGCGCAAAGGAGGAAAAACCGTCATTATCTTGGCAGGTGTTGCATTATAGCAAAAATGGTACAAAGCTCTATCTATATGTAATATATCTATGTATCATACACACTGAAGAGAGTCAAAACGTTTTGTAACCAAAACGTATGTTAACCGAGAAATAAACATATAAATACGAACACGAAAGCACGTCCAGTGTTGACCTAATAGCTCACTTTTGCTATAGAATTTAACTTCTATTACATTTCTTTTAATCATTTTTACTTGTATATTTTTGTCCGCCAACTCGTTAGAAAACATCAATGACAAAATAGTCGAAAAAACAGTAGGCGTTTTTACCTAGAAAATCGATTAAAAGTTGCAATGAAATTCTAGCGCTGATCTAGAACAGAATCGTGAGTGAGACTTAAGACGATGGGGCAGTCACAATTTCAGTTGTAGTGCTCTGTGCATCCGTAGGTGGCTTCTCTTGTAGTTCCAACCACGGTAATCGTTTCTGCAGTTCCAACCTGTAATAATTGCGTAATAATCCAATATTTCGTTTTTAGTTATTTGGACACCGGTACATATGCATATTTTTGATGTTTTTTGCAAAAATTTAATTGACTATCGATTAACAATTGCATGCATATATTAGATGTATATCATATACAAAATAAAATTAATTATTATTTGTCACTTTTGACGTCACAATCGTGATTTTAGTTGCAGTAGCAAATCAGGCAAATCTTTTAACATATCATTGAGAATGAAAAATAATTGAATGTTCTTTACTTTTACTTTTAATGAACTTTACTTTCATTTACCTGTATCTTGGATGGCTTATAGCGTACACGTACGGATCCAAGCAGGCCACAAATTTACACGCACACGCGGGTATCATCGTGATGCCAGGAGTTAATAAGGCTTTGTTCCCGAAAGCACCAATCATCGCGAGAACCCCGTATGGAGTCCACGATAAAACAAAGAGGAAGCAGATTGTAATCGCAGCCTGCAAGAAATATATTCCATGCAATCAAATCCTTTCGTTTATGCTTGATTTAGTAAATATGATGACTACAGAAGAAATTTAAATTTTATTTGTTAATAATTCAAATGTTTATTAAACAATAATTTCAATAATTGTTGGAAGAAACTCGATAGATACTGTTATGTTAAATTTTAGTTTAGAAAATAAACATTTTAATTTAATTCAAATTTATCCTTGTAAAGGTGTAATATATAAATATTTTACATTTAAACTTCTATTTACTCACTGAACTGAAATATTGAAAAATAAATTCACATATAAGAAATTGCACAATACCTTGGCTATACGTATTTCCGCAGTTTGAGCATTTGTGCTTGCATTGCTTCTCAGACTTTCAACGTTCATTTTCTTTGCTTGTTCACGGAGAGCTTTTTCGTGATTGATAACATGGCTGACGATTTGACTATAATAATATATGATAAGAACCATCGGTATACAATAGGAAAAGGTAAATATCGTAGCCACAAAGTATCGTATTTCTGACGTGTCCGTCAAATAGTCAAAAGTGCAGCTTGTTAGGAAACCTTCGGGCACAAAACGACCCCAAACGTGCATCAACGGCATCAAGGCCCAAGGAATCGTATACACCCAGATGAGCACAATAAAAAGCATCACTTGGCCGCGTGATAGTTTTCCATCGAGTGGTCGAGCTATAGTACTAATTTTAATAAGATTATATATTATGTGTAATTCTATTGTATTTTATTTACAAAAAATTATTAACATTACGTAAAGGTTTCTTTCTTTAATTTTAAATCGTGAATTTAATATGACAATTTTAGAAAACCAAACATATATTTTAAGATAAACAAAACTTTTTCTTGTATTTTTACGAATTTTTGATTTAAAAAGTAAAATGTAAGTTTTCTTAATCAAGAAAAAAAGTAAAGAAACCTAAAATTAAACCTAATTAAATTTAAAAATAACTGTTAACACTTAATTTAAATATAATATGCAAATAAAAATTTGCATATTAAATGCAAAAAAAATACAATAATTTTTATTTTACATTTTATAGAAATAATATTATAACTTTCAAAATTTTTATCCCACATTCAAATATTTGATCATAAAAACATTTATACATAAGAATTAAGTTTGATGAAATTAAAATCATTTTTAAAATTTGCATCTGCTATATTTGCATTACAAACATATTAAATTGAAAAATTTTAACCAGAGCGAGAGAGAATTCAGTGATTTCAAAAATCTACTCTATTTTGCAAAAATTCTAAATAAAAAAATATTTTCTGAAAGGGTTGAGATACCTGTATCTGTCATACGCAATAGCAGCATTCGTCATGCCAGCTCCAATTCCACTGAGTGCTCCCATAAAAGCAAAGATCTGACATCCCAAATGACCCGTAGCAAATCCCGTATTGAAAGAATTGTATATAAATATAGGCGCTTTGAGCATCATGAAGAAATCACAAAATGCCAAGTTCACCACGAATAAATTCGAAGGCGTTCTCAATGATTTGGCTCTACATATAAAAATGTAAAAAAAGTGTTGATACATGATTTTAACAGCGTTGGGACAATAGTATGTGTGCCAAATTCCGACAAACATCAAATGTACACAACAGAAAGTAAAATAATTGAATGAAATAATAGGCACTAGTTATAATTACATTAAAGAAATAGAAAAAAATTTTTGCATATTTAAAGAAAAGATGCTTAATCTTAATGGAATAGAGTTAATTATTAAGTTTTTGCCTAATTCTGTCAAGATCAAATGTTTCATTAAAACTTTTAAAACAAATTTTTTGTGTGTGTGAGTTTATTGTGCACTAATGAAGAAAAAAACTAATTTTTTTAAGTTTTTAATTTGAGAAAGTTAAATTAATAATCTTAATAATTAAAACTAATTTTAATCACTTAATCACGAGCTTTGCACAACTTAGCACATTATTATGTATTATCCGAATAGTTAAACAATCCTTATCAAAATATTGCAATATTTAAAACTTACGAACAAAATATCCATATAACTAGCCCATTTCCAAGCAACGCGACGAAGGTAAAAAGTGTGTACACAATGGCCAACAAATAGTGAAGCGAGGGGTTGGGCTCAGAATAGATAAGCCAATGTTTCGGTATATGAACCAATTCCTCCGCAGGGACATTCCATCCTAACAATCGTGATGAACCTGTTGGTAGAATTCTCGCTTCCCAATAAACACTTCTGTTGGACATGTTGAACTACTAACTCCTCAACTTATTTCACTTATCCATATCAGTGAACCTTTATACGCTTTGCCATGACTCAAATTCGCGAAACCTTAATTCACCTTAATCCAGCTTAAATGGCTTCGGATGAGGATTCGACCGAGATCATCCGCAACTTGCTGATGATCAGCAGATATACGATTCCATGTTACGTCAGTTAACTATCGAATTATTTATTAGTAGGATTCGCATTATGGCTTTATTTATTATTAATTCTTATTATTTTTTTCATAAATTTCTTTAATCAAAATAAAATATCCGACTTTATTAAATAATTTTACTTTTTAATTTTGTGTGTTTGGATAATGTTTATTATTAAATTAAAATACAAAAAAATATATTAAATTATATATATATAATAACATATATAATAATTAATATATTAAATTATATTATTAGATGTTAAACTTAATTTCCGCCGCTCACAAGTAGATAGTGCCAGCTGCAGACGAAATAAGTTTTGATGTTTGAAGTTGCTTGTCTTATAAAGGATAAACATTGGTCAATACAATTTAGTGTGCAAAGGTTGAGTATTGTGTAAACAAAGAAATTTTTTAATCGATGAAAAATGAATCGTAATAAAGTATTTTTTCGACATGTACTTCTCCACTATTTCGACATGAAGAAAACTGCAGCTGAAACACATCGCTTACTGTCCGAGACTTATAGTGAAGAAGCTCGATCAGAAAGAACGTGTAGAGAGTGGTTTTAACGTTTTCATAATCGACGCAAAGTGATCCTTTTGCACGACAATGCGCAACGGCATGTTGCAAAAACCGTGAAAGACACACTCTTGGAGCTCGAATGGGAAATTCTTCCACACCCAGTGTATTCTCCAGACCTGGCTCCATCGAATTATCACCTTTTCCGATCGATGAAACACGCGCTCGGAGACACACACTTCTCCAGTTATGAAGAAGTTCAAAAGTGGGTGGATGAATGGTTTGCTTCGAAAGATAGCGCATTTTATCGTCGCGGAATTAGTCTCCTGCCAGAAAGATGGGCAAAAGTCATAGAAAATAAGGAAAAATATTTTGATTAATGTATTTATTTTACTCTCTTTCTAATAAATGAATTTTGTAAGACGAAAAACGGTGGAAACTAAGTTTAACACCTAATATATGTTATATTATTAAATTTAAATATAAAAGATAGCATACACATGTGTGCATGTGTACGTGTATGCTACCTTTTATATTTTGAAAATTAGTATTATTATAAATTATATATATTATTTCTATATTTTAGTTCGCAATACCGATGCATCAAAATCAATTGATTCGCCAATTGTCAAAAAAATACCAAAAAAATACATTTACATATTCAGACAATTCAAATATATGAAATGTTCGAATTTTATCTGCCAAGTCTAATATACATACATATACATGTGTGTCATGATAAGAGCATGTGCAGTGTGCATAAACATCTGCAGCATAAAAAACCGAAAAGATCAGTTTTTGTCGCATGTCGCTATGTCAATTTTTCGCTGAGTTATAACGTTTTAAAAATCTGGCAGATGTATCATCTAAAAATAGACGTGGAAGCGTGCGGCACGCGGAGTGCACGGAATGCGACAACACACGGAAGAGTTATTTTTTATGCTACGGCCTAGACACCTGCTAGACATAGTACCGTTATGGAGCATTGACCTCCAAGGAACATCGGTCGACTTCGACCCATGTCGGAATCATTCGATGCGATCAAGGGTCGATGGTACTGTCAATCTCTTTCCTAAGGGAGACACGAGAGAGTTGGAGAGAGTGCAGGAAATGCAGCAAACAAATGAAAAGCAAGAATTTAGCATATCTGAAGGCCAGAATCATTTATCTCGGGTAATTAATTTGAAAAATATCATCAATTTAATTACAAAAACAAAATTAATTCTTTCGGTACTTGGCATAACAACACGAAATAATCGCTATCAGCTCATTTAATCAGATTTATAGGTTAAGATGACATGTAAATATGTACCTTGCAATAAACGTTATTCAGACAACGTATATATCTATCCATAATACCCTACACAAATATTTTTTGGACTATATATCAATTTTCTGTACTGAAATTTTGTATTTTATATGTATTTTTTTAATAGATAGTGTACTATATTAAGTTCTATACATTATTAGTTCCATATTTTGTTCAAGGTGAAGGAACTAATATAGAAATACCAATGTGCTTGTGGAATGAATACCTTATTCTGTTCTGAATTCTGCTGTATGAAAAGTGTCTCAACATGAGTTTGACAAATAAATGTTAAATTGATTGATTCAACGCCTAATTTAAGTAATCAACACTGGTATTTTATGTTTAACACAATCTCTGTTCAGAGATATGTGCTTCTTACTGATGCAACAAAGCAGGATAATCAAGGCAACTTGAAAATGTGGATTCTGTTTCAATAGTATATGAAGTTGTCGATTGTGCAAATCTTGAGTTTTGTATCCCACATACAGAGAATGCCATCAAGAATTGGAATTTGCACTGCACAAGAACACCTTTTATCTTCATCGAGCAGGAATCACTTATATTGTGCCAAGGTGCTTAGATAAAGGGCTGTGGGGCTCTTTATGAATAAAAGTAATTATAATTATCGTTATCCCATTATATAAAGCTTTCTTTGATTACTCACTTTTCCATATGGCTTTTATTTCATTTGTATTTTCTCGCTTAATCATTTAAAGCAATCATTCAGTTTTTTTTTTGTAAATTTTTAAACCTTTATTTCCAATTTGATTATATCCAATTTGATATTACTCTGTTGTTAATATTATATGCATTTGTATAATTTTACTAATATATATATACATATATATATTTCACAATTATAGGTGGTGACGAATACTCTCCTAATGTACAAAACTATTGACATTGTGATAGTCAATGTTTGTCAGATCTTGTTAAGCATTTCTCAAACTATTGGAAGACCAATCTGTAAGCTGTTATTCTTATTACATTGTCTTACTTGATGAGTGCATATTATATTCTCTAACATCAATTTGTCATCCTCTTAAAAAAAAGACATGTTATCAATATTTAAATAGTAAAAATGCACCAAGTTTGTACACTTTATCATACTCTGCCTTCTCTCTCGGCAGATTTATCGGTCAAAGTGTACGCTGGTAGATAAGACGAGGGATTGTTGGAATCTTTCAACAATGGATTGCGTGTTGTAGTACTTCTCTTACCAATGCTCGTATATCCCTGATCGTACAAAGAACAATAAGGAATATTATGCTTCAACAGAAATGTCCATACTTGACTATATGACCAATTTAAAATAGGATTAACACGTATCAATTGTGGCCAGTCTGAATCAGTGGGCGTAAACGGTTGTAAATCTTCGGAAGCTGGATCGCCTTTTCTTGTACCCATGAGACTCGCTTTTAAATTACGTCTTTCTTCCAGTAACTCGAACAACGCAGATCGTATCGATCGTTGTTTTCGTATTATCTCCAAATTGTAATAACGAGAAGCCGATTCTACAAACGCTTCTACCTATACACACACACATACATAAACATATAATTTAAATAAAATATATTTTAAGATTATATGTTATATTATTTATAATCATTAATTTTCTTACTTCTGGGAAGCAATCGTCAGTTATATACAAGCATAATAAAGATAAAATGTTGCGCGATTTCGCAACAGTAGCAGCTAAATGTAAGACTGCTGTGCAATCTTTACCGCCATTAAAACTGATGAAAATTTCATTTGAATTATATCTACAAAAAAAATAGAATTATATAAAAGTTGAAAAATATATCTATATAAAAAAACACGTTTATATTACATTATACGTATTATATATACACACACACACACATATATATATGACAAATAGAATATATACTTGTAACATACAATTTCTTCAAAGTTAATATAGTTTTCAACTATTTATTTACACATGTATACATACCTATCGAAGCACTCGTTCAATATATCCAATGCATACTTTACATGCGTTTCATTTTTACCATTTTCCAAAATAGCATTCATTTGAAAAGAGCTAAATTTGTGGTTTGGATTTATAATTTTTTGTACTGGCAAATAGTATAAAAGTTCATCTTTTGCTTCTGCAACTATTTCTTCAGATCCTTCCAAAGTAATTCTCGTGAAAATATGTGGTTCCGATTGGGGATAACTCCCAATTTTTACTTTACCATTCCAGCGTTTTACTTGTCTATCCAAAACATTTACTATTGATAATTCATTCAACTGTATATCTATGTATTCAAAGTATAATGATGTGCATGCTTTCAATCGAGGAATGATTGTATCTGCAGCAGACTCAAAATATTTTGGAGAACCAGGTAATATATAAACATTTTTTACGCTTATTATTGGAAAAGTCTCTGAAATTATAATGCAATCATATATTAATACTGTGTATCTCAATGATAAAATATTTAAATAAACCTTTTTCCATACACTGCAAATTCTTTCGTTCTAGAATTCAAAGAATATTCGATAAAGAATGTACCACATAAAATTGCCATTATTCAACCAAGATTGATAATTTGCTGACAAACTACTTGCTAATTATTTAAAACAAAATAAAAAATATAAGTATTTAAAAAAACACGTACTTGTAGAAACAACATTGATAATCTCGCAAGAATTGGGAACAATAGCAAGTCGTCTTATTTCAGGCTCATCAGGGATCAACTGAGTGTACATGTCAAACAATTCTTGATGTAATTCAAGTTTTAATTCGAAAGCTTTTGCTACAGCCTCATAAGTTACATCATCGTGAGTAGGCCCAACACCACCGGACGTAAATACAGCAGAATACTGTCTTGAGACACTCCTTATCTCTTTAGCGATGTCGTCCACCTGTAATAGAAAGACTTACTGTTGGATATTATATTGTACATATTGTACTTATCGAGATCATCTTTGTATCGTATTTTTGTGTAAGATAATGATAATAAAATGATACATACAACATCAGGAACCACTATAACTCTTTGTAATCTTACTCCAGCAGCGGTTAGACGTCTCGCCAAGTACGATGTATTGGTATCAATTATTCTCCCGCGCAAAATTTCATCTCCCACAACTATAAGGCTTGCTGTACAAGGGTGACACGTCCGTTGCAACATATCGTTCTAAATTCTGCTCTTCACTAATATGAAAATAAAACATAAAACCAAGAACAACTGATATCTTTCTTTTTGCTTTATCTTCTTAACGTAGATAATATGTAATCTAGAGAGAAATTTTCTCTACTACTTGACACATATTGATGACAGTTTTCACCCTTATCTGTACTTTATGTAATATTCATACAACTTCAACAGGGACATGTCAAACATCAAAAAGTAAACCATTATTGAAGCAAAGAAATAAAAGAGCCAAGTGATACATTTTTGCAATATTTATTATTATGAAAATTGTAACAAGTACCAGATACAAAATAATACAAACAAAGAATCATTATTTTGCACTTTGTACAAAGTAGTCTTGCAGTGTACATGTAGTTTGAAACAGATTTGAATTATACACAATTAAAATATATAATAATATATACATAAAGCTCATCATTTTCTCTCTTCTTGTCAAAGTTTCATCTGTTCCACCATGGAAGTCGTTGCATCCGTTTGTGCTGGCGTCACTTTACACGCCGAAGGTTTCTTATTTAATTTGGTTGATTTTTTTTGTGTAATATTAAGTTTTGCTTTGGAATTGAACGCTTGTACGTCTTTGCGCAATTCTTCCAGTAAATGATCCACATTGGCTATTTTATCCTTGATTAATACCTTACTTCCTTTTGAGTCAAGCTAATTTCAAAAGTACAAAAATAACTACATCTTTTGTCAAGTATTTCAAGTAACGCTTTACTATTATTACATTTGGGTTCTTGTACATGCATTTAAATTTTCAACTTTTGCGAAATTCATTTAAATAAAAAACAATATTTATTTATTTATTTATTTATATATATATACACATGTCACTTTGCTTGAGATTTTTTAAGTAGTCCAATGCGTCAAAAAATTTAGTCAACAACTTGCTTGGATTAGCTGATTTGCTTTCAGTAACAAGTATTTTCAAGAAGCAACACATAAAATGCAATCTCACAATAATTAATATTTCACGTTTTGATTCGAAATTTGTTAATGATCGATCACTTACTTTCTTCAGATTAATGGCCACCTTCTGCGCTTTAGCTTTCAGCTTGATACTGCGAACTGTTGCCACTTTGAAAACATTTTTATTTTTGTGAGTTCCTTTGTTCTTTGCCATTGTTTTCTGTAACATTATCATTTACAAATAAATTACTGTACATTATTAATATCTGTTTTAATTTTCTTCGTTGCTGGCTCCTCGCCTTTCATCACATTTCCTTTCAAGAAAAATGATACTCGGACCATTTCTTTATTCGGTGAAACATCCCTAATATTATGTATACTGACGATAGAATCAGCAGACAGCATATAACCAAGACTTTGCTCAACCAACATTCTTCCAAGTCTGCAAACATCATCTCCTTTATTTCCTTTTACAAAACAATATACATGGAATATAGGCGGCTTAGAGCAAACTTTTTTTAGCTCTTCTTCCATAAACCAATCAGGCAGTATATCCAAAAATTCAACAGCTGATGCTGGTAAGTTCATTATTATATGTTCAGTACCTGGTAAATCTTGAACACGTCTAGATAAGATATTATCTTTAACAATATTTCTCAAAAAATATCTACCATCCATATTAAAAGCTTGAAAATTATTTTTCACTTTGTTAATAGCAGCATTCCTCTGAAGCCACTTGTAAGACTCAGGGTTTAGATCATTAGCAAATACTTGGACTTTTTTACGTGCAGCAGGGATAGCGAAAGGTCCCACTCCTGCAAACACGTCATATAGAACGTCATCTTGCATCATGAATGTTGTCATTTGCGTATGTTCGGTAGATAAACGTGAATTCCAATAAACTTGTGCAAAGTCAAACTGATATGTACAGCCATGTTCTTTCGCAGTTGTTATTGTATTTCTTTCACCAGCCAGGATTTCCATAGCAAAATATCGAAACGTTGTATCAATTGTATTAATTTTATTTACTACTGTTCGTGCACTTGCAGTTTTATCTAGAAATACTTGACCAATAATAGTTTTATATGGTAAATGTACATCACGTAGATTCAATTGTATAATATGTCCTACTAAACTGTACGCTGTAGGAGCTGGAATATCTTCTGGTAAAATAGATTTTAATATCTCATCACGACGAAAATTATCATACTTGATTGTAACACTCGTTGTACAAAAATGTTCATAATGATCTGCCAGCAATTTTCTATCATTCTCTGTGATATCTTCAAGCTTTGTAACAACATTTGGATTTAAGTGAACAAGAACTTGATCTTTGCTTTCCTTTTGAATCGGTTTAAAGTTACAAATCTTTAACAGATATTTCTTCAAAACATGCATGTTTTTTGTGACTGCAATATCACATAACAATGTTGGTATATTCACGACTGTTGTAAATGCATCACGATCCAGACATGTCATTCCACGGACCGATACCGGAGGAACCAGCAAGGAAGTCATAGTAGTAGTTGTATAAAAGCTGTACTGGTTTTTCAAACTAGAACGTTGTAGCACATGGAGGAATCTGCCAATCGCCATATACAGGATCATACACTGCACAACAATACAAATGTTTCACAATAATAACTGTTTTAATCGTTGTATTTAATAAACCGTTGCAATAAACCAGTACAGAAATCGCATAGAGACGAATAAATGTTTTTTTTTAGAGATTATGTTAGATTGAGTTTTATGGTCGCTCGTAAGAGATAATAATAAGAGAGAAAATAGAATAAATATTATATTTACCCGATTGTTCACAAGAAAATAGAAAATCCAATGTCTAATACGGTGTTTTATTTAAATATGCAACATAAGTTGAGAAGAAACAAATGTGAAACACATTAAAAATATATAGAAATAAACGAGTTGAATCCGAAATATGATTTTGGAGATCTCATGTGACTTCATGTAGAAAATGGGTGCATTCAGTACTACAAACGTTCAACGAGCGGTTGAGTAGCAATCGAATGTGATTGGTTTTTACCTTTGAAACCTTTGGTGGATTCAAAAATAATAACCAATCACATTCGACTGCTACTTAGGCTGCGTTCCAAAATTTACCGCCTGTACTGGAAATTTATAGTTTATGTCACGTATACTGTAGATTTTTAGTACTGACAGTGAATTTCTGAACGCATTCTTAAGGCCAATGTCCACGATGTTAGAAATCGGTATGTTCCGAGAAACATATAGCCAATAAAATTGCCGTTTTTCCATAAAAAATGCAAATTGATTGGTTAGGGCCTATCCAGACAAACTTGCATAATCACATAAACATATGCATAAGGAAATTGATTGGACGGATCGGATTTCTCACCAGAATTTTAGTGAATTTTTGATCCTGCTATTTCTTCCGATCGGAACGCGTATTTCTGTCTGTTTAGAACATCCGGAACTGTCTGGAACGATCGATCGTTTGCATTTCCACAATCAAATTGTTACTTGCACCTTGTAAACGCCTCATTTCTTGTGTAAATATTGGCCGTACCCAGTATTTTCGCTGCATTCTGATATTTTCTTGCTTTTGCAATAAAATAATATAACTTAAATACAACTTTCGCACTCTCTCAAATACCGATACAGCATACCAAGTTGGCAAATTTTTCACTGTTTGCAGTATTTTTAATATGATTAATAAAACTGTTTTTTCATCCATCTCTATGAATTTAGGATATTTTTAGTCGCATTGAGATTAAAACTGTCTAATATAAAACTGTCTGTTACAAAATATAGTTTACGTTTTTTCACACATGTGTCCGTTCCGTTCCGTAAAAAATTTCTCTACCAGTCCCATGTAGCAAAAACGAAACGGAAATATAGTTACAAAATATATTTCACTCTAATAATTCAGTATTTTTAAGTACTCATAACAATGTAATTTGCAAGAAAATTGTAGAAATTATGTATATAATTGCTTCAACCACATTTAAATAACGAAATATTAACGTAATTAAGTACATTTACCTGCGATCAAGGCGACATTTCGTTCCGTTTTTGCTACATGGGACTGGTAGAGAAATTTTTTACGGAACGGAACGTGAGCGGAACATTCAATTCTAGTGAGAAATCCGATCCGTCATTCCGATCCGTGCTCAATGGGACTGCACCCTTAAGGCGGGAGCACAGACTTTTGCATAAAGCATAACGCATAAGCATAAGGAAATAGTATGTCGTTCGTTACTTGTCT